TTGGCTTCGTTTTTCTCAATTCCTCTGATCTTGTTATAGGTAGACCTAAAGGCACAATTGGTATTGATAGCCAACACTAGCTCGTCCAATGGGGATGTGAGGCTGGCCTCTGAAAAAGCTGATGTTGGACGTTATGAAGCTTGGGGAGTTGAAGCACCTGAATTGTATATGACTCCCAAACTAGTGAACGATGAGAGTGAGGCTGGCAAAGATTCTTCTGCGCCCTTAAAACCAGTCGAGCAGGCACTAATTTTGGCTCTGTGCCTTAATCGAAAAGGGCAGCCGGCATGATGAGATGCAAAGTAAGTGACCCGTTTTTCCTTTACCGTTAATGGTCTGTCGAGAGCTTAGATGCAAAGATGGATTGAAGAAGATTAACAATTCTGCCTAGTAAGTAAAATTAAGTTGCTTCGCAGTAGTTGTTGTGACTGCAATTCAAAATGCTTGAAGAGCCTCATTATGGCGTAGGCAAATAACTACAGAGATCATGAGGCAGAAGATTCAATTGTCTACTCTTGCTTCTATGTCGACTAGTTTTGCTCACTTTTGCTGAATTGAATTTACTATGTCCTTTAGTTTATTTATATAATCTAATATTTTCTTCTGCAGGATGGGATATGGCTCCATATATTGAGGCAATTGATTCTCAAGAATCAAGTTATTTTGCTGTAAGCTTTAATATCTCAGTTATTCAGTTTTTTTTCAAAGTTACCAATCTTTAACTGTTTGATTTTTATTTCGTCACAACATATGAAAGTGAGACAAACTGACTGACTTTATATCTTTGGGGAATATGGTGAGCTTCTAGTGAGTTGTGGTTTATTTGGGGAAGCAATCACAATATTCGAGAGCCTAGAGTTGTGGGATAATCTAATTCACTGCTACTGGTAAACTTAAACTTCAATGCTGTTTTGCGATAAAACCAGCTACTTGTTTTCCCTTTCCCTTTATGTTCTTTAGTGAAGCTTATTAGGCAATGTGAAATTTCAGCCTTCTGGGAAAGAAATCAGCGGCTGTAGATCTCATCAATGCACGCCTTTCTGAACGGCCAAATGACCCAAGATTATGGTATTTAATCTTTGATCGTGCCCCTAGTCTGTTGTTTGTATATCTTATTAAATTGCTGTCAAGTGCCGTACTTATCTGTCTTTAACCTACATTTAATTATATTTTGTGTAAATGTTTTCTTAACTTTTGTTTATATTGGAGAGTTATTACTGGATCATCAAGTCAAACCCGTTGCTTAATATTGTTTCCAGGTGTTTACTTGACTATGTTACAATTAATGATTCTTGTTATGAAAAAGCCCTGGAGGTTTCAAATGATAAGTCAGTTCGTGCCAAGGTACGTAGATTGAAACACAAAACTGAAAAATCTTCTAAGTCTTTCTCTCTTAGTCCACACTCTAACTGTCTCTACCTTGCAGCGTGCTCTTGCTCCAATCGTGGTGATTTTGAGAAATCGAAGTTGCTATGGTATGCTGAAGATTTTGGTTCTTTTTCTCTTTTAAAGATAAAATAAATCTAGCTGATTTACTTGTGAGATGTCGCGTCCTTTCCCTTACTACAGGGAGACTGCGATGGCCTGAAATTCTCTGTACCCAGATGGTTGGTTTGCTCTTGGTGCTGCTGCGTTGAAGGTATCTTGCTCCATTTTCTTCAATAGTTTAGAGCAACATGTTTGCATTCCAAATGTCATTAGATAAACAACATAGAAATTCTTGTCATGCTGGCTGAGAGGAATACTAATTTAACATCTACATTATACCGTAGGGCAGGGATGTTCAAAAAGCTCTTGATGCATTCACTTTTGCTGTTCAATTTGAATCTGACAGTGGAGAGGCCTGGAACAACATTGCTTGTCTGTAAGTACTTCAGTTTCACTATTCTGCTCTTTTTGTGCTGAGTTGCTGAGAAAGTTAATCGTTTGTTTCGCTCATGCCTTGCTATCTAACTTCGCTGACTCACTGCCCACCTACTTTATATTTCACATGTACTATGTATGACGCTGAATGTGTAATAATTTAGGCATATGATTAAGAAGAAGATCAAAGAATCATTCATCGCATTCAATAAATTCAAGTATCTCTCCTTCCCTTTCCATTTGTAATTTGAGTTAATAATTTAAAACCATTGTGTCTCAACAGGCGAGATAGCTGGCAGATGTGGGAGAATTTCAGCCATGTAGCTATGGATGTGGGAAATATTTATCAGGTATATGCAGCTATTTACTTATTAAAATTTAAAATATTCAGCCCTCATATATATATAACTTAGCTAGTGGTTCCCTGTATATCTGTTTTACTTAAGCTTAGGAGTTAAACGAGTTGGTTTCTTCTGTGGGTTATTTTTCTTCCAGGCCTTTGAAGCTATACAACAGATACTGAAATCGAGCGAAAACAAGAGGATTGATGTTGTTTTGTTGGACCGTATAATGACATAGTTAGAAAATAGGAATTTATCATCTTTCATCGAGTGAAAGCGAAGCTTCTCTAGATGAGTGAACAGAAACAAAACCGTTTGCTGCAACACCGGCTGAAACTCAACACCACCTAGAGTTGCTTTGGAAAATTATTCAGCAGGTTAGCAAAAAAACATTTCAACAAATGCTAATTGCTATCCCTTGTATTATCTCATTTCTCAATTTATTTCATACACTATACGTTGGCCAGGACCAGGCTTCTTCGTGCCAATTTGTTGCAGCCTCTGAAAGATATTGAAACTATTAACACCCTCCTGGACTGCCTGCTTACTATAGTTATGCTTTGGGTATCATATTCTCCAAGAAACTTTAATATGCATAACATTCACTTTCTGTTAGGTGTTCAACATTCACTTCGTCATTGCGCAACTACCAGAAATTTTCCATTGCATGATGATTTATTAATCGTAAAACAAATTTCCTTTTCTTGTAACTACAGGATGAGTTGAGCAATGACCAACTATTCTTTGGGCTGTCAACAGGTTTTACGTAAATTTCCAAAAGAGACTGGTAAGCAACTAGGAAAAATATGGGAAAATCCTGAAATTTTTTCTTTGCATCCAAAAATTTCAGCTTGGTTCTTCTTTTAATCACATCATCTCAAAAGATTATCCACAACTTTTCAAATAGAGTTCTTTGTCATTTTTGCTTCAAGCCAAAGAAAGTCACGGATGCGGTCCTAGGTTTTGACAATACCAGGAGTCAAAACATGATTTCAAGCATTGTCTTACTTAAGACTGCATTGGATGCTTTGCCTTTGCTTGCTAAGGTGTTTTATTTCTCATTTTGTTTTCAGAGTTTTTGCTTGACTTGGTATCATGTGTCTGTGACCTCTGTCCCTTACCAATTACGCCCTGTCCCATGTAAAAATGCAGGTTCTAAAGGACGCAAAGTGTTTTCTCCTGGCCGATGTTTACAAGTCTTGCATCAGAAAAAAGTAGATCTTAAGTATGATCTTATTTTCTTGATGTATTTTCCATTTCCTCCGTTTAAGGCTTCTTAAAATTAGAGTTTTCAAATAACTATGGACTCTTTATCCTCTTGTCTTATCAGAGTCGGAT